TATTTATAATAAATTTAATTATGAATTAATGTAATATTTTTATTTTCTTAATTTATAAATTATTAATTTTTTTATTCTACTTTAAAATAAATAAATAGAGGAGAAGGCTCTATAATTAGAAAATTAAGGCTGGTTTTCATAAATATATCAATTTTTACATATTTCTAAATCAAAATCTTATTTATCCTTTAAGAAATATTGTTTTTTGAAAAATAACTATATCTTAATATTTTTATAAAAAAGAAATCATAATAAGAAAAAAAAACATTATTGTATCGTAATTTTATTTATCATGCAAAATTATCATAGAAAGAAATTATTTAATTTCGTTGCACCTATAAATTCAACAAATAATATTGAAGATATTTGATAAAATATTAAATATTACATATAATTATCATAATAAATATTATATAAAAATTAATGTAATATTTTTATTTTCTTAATTTATAAATTAATAAATTTTTCTTTACGTAAAACCAAAAAATTCCACAGCTAGCAAATTAAGGCATGTTTTTATAAATATATCAATTTTGATAAATCAAAATCTCATTTATCCGTTAAAAATATTTAATTTATGAAAAATAAATATATCTAAACATTTTAATAAAAATAAATCATAATAAGAATAAAATTGCTATCTCATAATTTCATTTAAAAAAACAACATGCAAAAATTTAATAACATGAAATTATTTAATTCCATTATAATAAAAAAATTTAATGAAATATTAAAATATCTCATATAATTACCGTACTAAATATCATAAAAAATAAACAATTAAAAAATAATATAGTTTTTTATATTGAGCACTAATTTTAAAGCAAATTCAATTAAACAACAAAAAGAAAAGCCTATCTAGCTGAAGAGATCAACGATCATAACGCTTGTCGCTTACAGATGACATCGACGGTGGTGAGCCCATTGCTGAACCTGCCGGACGGCCCGCCGGGGAAGTCGATCCCATACGGCAAGTAATTCGCCCTCGCCAACGAAGCGATATCGTTATTGTTCCCATTATCGACGAGCGAGTCCCCGAAGATAAAATAACAAGGAACCTGAGGAGCCGGTCGAACCGGGCCGGGAAAAGCCAGCAGTAGAAGAAGCAAAGCACAGAGCGTTGATCTCAGCAGCAGGAGAAGCTGCTTCTGTGAGAAAGCCATGGAAGAACGAAGGAGGTAGCTTACGAAGGGAGAAGTGATGCAGTACTGATACTGAATTGAAAGCTGGAGGTGGCAGTAGCGGTGGCGGTGGCGGTGGCGGTGGCGGTGCAAGGAGTACTATATGGGGAAGTGGAGAGTGTGGTGCAGTATTTGTTTATATTTATAGTGTGGAGAAGGAGAAAGGAAGGGAGCAGAATTAATGGTTATTAGGTTGCTGTTGGTTTGAGGCATTAAATGGCTCGCGCGGTCTTAACGTGGAGTCATGTGGCCGCGACCGCGTCCGCAAGTTTTTACTTAGTCAAATTAGCTTCCTTCCACCATCTTCACCATGATTTCAGCTTGCTAGCTTTTGTGTTAAACTGGATCGTAGGAGTTACATTGGTGTGAAAGATGAGGGTGATCGATGCCTGTTTGCTTGACTTTTACCATAATATTTTTGGTGAGCGGAAGTCTGTCTACTCTTCATCTCAGTTTGAGGGAAAATTATTACGTCCGTTGTCCAGATTCAATCCAAATGCGCCACGTCACTAAAATACATCGGAGTCAGTGCATTCGGGTGACATGGTACGTTTGGATTGGGTGACCGGACTTACCGGACGTCCGTAATAATTCGCTCAGTTTGAGAAGATGAGATTATAAAATGTATGATAGTAGCTTGTTCTTCTGAGGATGTAGTCCAGAATGATAGTAATAATTAAGATTTTTTTTCATTGCAGCAGGGTGCATGGTTGGACATTTGAAGATCTTCCTAGTGAGTAGAGTTCGAATCTCATGGATGTCATGTTTACGAGCTATTATTATGTGTGGACACCGGACAATTCTCCCGTCTGGTTACGCTTAGGTACCGAGTGGTACCAAGCGCAGTACCGAGCACGCGGTATATTTTTGAGGTGGCGTGGCACATTTTTATTGGTCTCTGGACGCCATCCGGTTTCTGCATAGAATAATAAATCCACGTATATAGGGCTTGGGCGCAGGCAATGGGGTTCATGAGGGGACAATGCAGGCGGGGGCAATGCAGGCCATTGCGGGCGGGCAAATGAATAGCGGGCTGCAGCGCGTGGGCGCAAGCCAGCAGATTTTTTTTTAAAAAAAATTTTCCGGTGGATAATTTCCGTCAAAAATCTGCCGAAAAATTTTCCAGTTCAGACAATCATAACAACATAATCCATTAAAGACATACTATAAGCATAGCTAACTTGTTCATGTTATTGTAAGAATGGGCTAATGATTACGTGAGATTTATGCAGAAATCTACTACTTATTTGTGATGGTAACGGATTTGGTCAACGAAGGATTTGAGCTTGTCCAATACATGTTGAGCGAGATTGGGTGATTCAGAGTGCATATTTTGAAGATCATGAAAACAACAGAAAGTTTTATATGTCTAAATTTGTTGGATTATCCCAATATATATAGGCAACCCCTAAAGAGCTGATAATTTTTTAAAACAAAAATTATAGCTGATCAACTGTTTATTTAAAATGTACATTTAAACTTGGAATGCATTTTATTGCATGCATGCATTCAAAATGCTTATATTTGAGAATATAAACTAAAATAAACATTGATACGGCATCACAAATTTAATTATCTTGATCGGGCACGAATCTGAAGGCAAAAAGCTAGTTGGATACTTCAAAAATTAAATCCGAAAGCACCAGAATTCCGATTTCAACGAGCCTATAGTCAAACTGAGCGTCTCGGAAAAACGAACCCAACGACATCAAGTTCAACCCAATCCGAGCCCAAATGATCCCGAATCAAGGACCCGAAGCGCTGTTGGAAGGTTCAAACCGAAATTTGAGTTACCAAACGGTCTCCGATTTTAACGAGCTTATACTCGAATCGAGCGGCTCGACGAGACGAATCCAACGAGTCCAAGATCTCTGAATTACGACATCATTAAGGCCTCCAAATGTCCAACAAACGGTGCACCATCGAAGGGTTCAATATCGACCGTCCATTCAAACCACTCCCTATTCGCCCATGATCTCACACCTATTTACGAGCCACGCCACTCCAGAAAAACTATAAAGAAAGCCCTCATTCTTCACAAGGGGGACTCAAGTGAAGAAAGAGAAGAAGAAGAGAAGAAGAAGGCGAATCCTTTCCTCCTCGACCACCGCCGGAGCTCTACCCGCCGCCTGAATACGCCAGAACTCTGCCGGATTTTCGGGAAACGACGGGATTCTGCAAAACTTTGTAAATTTGCTTCAAGTTGTAATCTGATCGTCTCGATTTGTGGGACGAATCAATTTCTTGTAATTTACAAAAAAGCTAGTGGAATTTTGCAACTGGGCGAGGCCCCGTGGTTTTTTCCCTTTTTGGGTTTTCCACGTATAAATCCCGGTGTTCTTTCATTTTCCTGTTTGTGTGTTAAATATACGTGCAACGCTCGGACGCTAATTTACAAACTCTACCGCTGCGTATTTTCTAGCACGCAACAAACATAATATGTTTTAATTATTTTTTTCTTTATTTGCATATAATATTATCTTTGTCTATCTTATATATACACTAGCGGAATTATGATTTTTTATGTGGAGGCATAAATTATGAATATTGAAAAAATTCTCTACCTTTTTCATCTAGACCTCGATCCAACATACACTACTAAAAAAATGAGACTATGGCAACATTTTTTATGCAGCAAATTAAATATCGCTGTAATAGGCATCATTGGCTGAACGAAATTAGCCGGAAGCGGGAATGATAGAAAAGCCGCGAAAATCTAAAATTAATAAGCCCTAGCGTGAACTTCACCGAGCGTTCCGTCGACATCCACACATACCTCGCGATCCACTCTGCACGCGATCCTCCTCCTCTCCTCCAACTGACGACGACGCCATCGCTGCCGCTAAAGCCGACATTGACGCATACACCGTATGCAGCACTTTCAAAACCGTTGCGAAAGCCTTACCAGCGAACGCAGATGCGGCGGATGTGCAACGGATTTTAAACCGCTGCTATAGGTAAGAAAATGTGGTGCGAAAGCCATATTTATTAGTAGTGATAAGTAGTTTTTTTTTTTTTTAATATGTTTTAATTCTTTTTTTCTTTATTTGCATATAATATTATCTTTGTCTATCTTATATATACACTAGCGGAATTATGATTTTTTATGTGGAGGCATAAATTATGAATATTGAAAAAATTCTCTACCTTTTTCATCTAGACCTGGATCCAACATAAGTAGTTTTTTTTTTTTAGACTTATTATATAATAGGATAACTTTTATAATTAAAAAACTTACAATGAAAAGCATGTGAAATTCATATTTTTCTTGCATTACACCTACGGTTTCTCCCTTCGAGTCTTCATATTCTGAAACCGTTGTACAATCCTTTCATTATCAATTAGCTGATCAAGCAATCATTTGTCCAATAGTCTCCTATAAAATTGCACAAACGATTCTTTATAATTTCATTGAAGAGAATGCTCGTTCGATTGTTGTTGCAGCAATAGGAAATATCATAGCATGTTTTATAAGTAAGAATAAAAATGGGTAAATATATTTTTTCATTGTCTCACACTCTCACTCTCACATGATTAATCATGAACATGGAAAGCTAAGCTTTGATGCAACAAAAATTAGACAATCAATACTAGCAGGTAAATGAGTTATGTAATCTCTCAAATTTTGATCAAACGATCTTCTAATAGCAAAGTTGATGTCTTGCTTTTGATTCAACAAATCTTCACATTTTTTTTATGAAAACTATTAACTTCAAAAACATGGATTTGAAATCTTTTATTTTTTTTTTCAATTTAGAAATCTCTTTGTGTTAAATCTATGACCACTTACAGTACATATAAATGCGTGCAGGTAATATATATATATATATATATATATATAATTAAATTTGAAAAATTCAGATCGAGTCACACTCACAAAAAAGTGTATTTCAATTCAATTGAAAAAAATAAAAATAAAACCCTAAATACTAAAATAATATAAGATGTATCTTTTTTCCTTGGTTAACTACTCCAATGCCCCTTCAACGTTTTGACAGTAAAGGTTGTCCCATTCCTTTGCATGCAAGAAACGTGAACGGCTAAATCTATGTAGGGATCAAATATCACGTGTTGCATTTATGGCTTATATGAGCTTATCCTTAGCTTCAAATATAATATAAGAGTAAATTACCGATCTTATTATTGCACGAGAAAATGGAAATTTATTTAATGAAAATTTCAATCATAATTTAGGAGCATTTTATGAGATATTTTGATTTGAAAAATAAAAATGAAAAATGAGAGCTATATGTTGCAATTCATTTTAAGCTCCGTTTAGGGAGAAATTATTCTGTGTGGACACCAAGCAGACTGGAGATCAACCAGAATGCACTACATCACCTCGTGCACAGCGGTATTGAGTATCGGTACCGAGCAAAAAAGTGACGTGGCACATTCTGATTGGTCTCCAAACGTCATCCAGTGATGTCTTAACAAAATAATTTTTCTAATTTGGGACAACTGCATCATTTTATAAAGTTGATTGCGAATTTGATGTGAATAAAATAACTTTATTAATATTTTTGCAAAAAATAACTTTCCATCACAAAAATAGTAAGAAAGCAGCAGCCAAGCAAAATTATGGATACTGCCAAAAATAGAAAAGCAGCCAAAAAGATGCCCCAAACAAACCCTTAGTATGTTAGTTGAGTAGGGCTGCAAAAGAACCGAGCCGGGTCGAGTATGTGAGTGTTCATGTTTGTGTTCATTTAATATCAGCTTGTTCAAGTTTGGTTCATGTTTGTTCGAGCTTTATTAATTGTTTGTGTTCATGTTTCATTCATTTAAATTAATGAGTGTTCATGTTCAGTTCATGTTAGTTCGTTTAGTGCTTATCGAGCTTGTTTGCGAACATATTTAACAAATTTTTTTTAACTATCAAACAAATATGTTCATGAACATATCTATGAACAAACACATTTATAATAAAAGCAATTGTCTATGTAACAAAGGCAATGATTATTTATATTTATTATTTTTATGGTCAAATATTAATTATTTTTATCTAGCTTATTCATGAGTTCAAAACTCGAACACGAATCAAGCTTTTATTGAGCTTCTTATCTAACTTAATGTCGAGCTTGTTCACGAACTTCAGATGATGTTG